CACATAATGTTACTGACTGCTCTGTTATTACTAATAAAATATATATATATTTCATGCTTGTCTGTGAAAAGTCATCTAGGTCATAAATCAGTTATCCAAGGAATGTTAAAATCAAAGGCAAGTGGATTCTTGAAGACGTTTCGTCGCTCATCTGATGCTTCTTCTGTCACAACAGCCAGGAGCACTAACGAACCAAGGAGTATTAATCATCTTGACAACGACCCCACTGTGGTTAAATAGCTGGGATTTCCTGCCAGTCAGAAGTGAAGAAGCCTCTCGGATGAGAGGCGAAACATCTTCGAGTATTTTCAACCTAGTCAAGTTGCCTTGATTTTAACATTCTTTGATATTCATGTCCCATTTACATCAGTCATTACTATAATCTACATACTTTCTTTTGATGGTTTCCTGTAATCTATTTGATCTAGTGTCCTGTAGTGTATTGTATAATATTCATGGGGAGAGCGGTACAGGTCAGCTTGTACAGGTTTTGAACAGTTTTAATTCCCACAAACAAAATGCAGCAGCATAGCATAACAGGTGTGAGAAATGTCACTGAAATTGGATCAAAGCGACCTTTTACTTACAATACTGTGTTATAGGGTTCCAATGTTTTACAGAGCACTTTGGGACATTCTGACAGCGATTTAGTCAGAACACTAAATAAATGAGCAGAAATTGTAGTCATGTAGTCAATATGATTCATTAAAAAAAAATTGTTGATCAGCCTGGTCAGTCCTGATGATGAGCTTGGCACATCCATATAGAAATTTTTGCCGCCCCCCAGAGAGATTTTAGTGAGAATGGTTTTATTTGTGAAACAGCTAAATCTCAACTAATAAAACTATCTGTAGGAAAATTATCCAAATAAAGTGTACCCCATAAATATATTGTTAGACTAACACTATACTTTTATACCTTTACTCCTCCGGGTTGTGGATATATTTTGTTTATCAAATGGTCAGAGATAAGAAAATGCACAGATTTCGGTCATAGGGTAACTCATTGCCTTTACAGTACGTGAACCGGCCATGCTTAGTGTTGAGTAAAGTCACCCCCCAAAGGCCCATTCTGAGCCAGGAAAAACCCTGCATACTTTTACTGTGTGTAGTTCCAAATTCTGCTACATTCTTGTTAAGCTTGCTTGGAAAAAAAAATGTCTCTTAAGCCTTGAAAAATATGAAAAAATGTTATACTGGTCTAGAATTAACTATAGCCTTGTGCTAGATGGCCTGTCTAGTGAATTTTGACATTTTTCCCCACTGCTGGTACAGTATGTGGAGTCCCATGGATATTTCTTTGAACGGTTATCCTTTCAAAACAAAACCAATGCCAGTGCACTGAATGAAAACACACAGATTACATGACCCTGACAGTGGCGTACATGACTATGACATCATATTTATGCTTATCCTAATAAGATGATCTCATTTCAACACAGGGGAAATGGGTTTAGATTTGACTTTACCTGCCCTCGTCTTAACCTGCCCTCTGTGTCTGGCTGCTTCTTTCCCAAATGGCTGGTAAAGCCGCTCCCTGTGAGCCTGGCAACAACTTATCAACGTATTACACACATTGTTGTTCCCATTGATCAGCTACTGAATGTTGCCAATATTACACTTGACGGTGGTAAAGGTATTCTAATCAAAACATAAGAGATACATTGAGGAATTTGCCAGTCACTACAAATGGTTTTACAGTTTGATTTGGTGGTAAAGGCTCTTGAACAAGCTCCCAAAATCAACATAATAAATAGATGGCTGCAAGCAGTTAACAATATCAAAGGAGATTCATATGATAGAGGTGGTTTGGTTGGTGAGGCAGTTGCAGCAGCAAGTGATGTTGGCAGGAGGATTACACATAACACGATGATTTGATTTTGTTTTGTTTGTTGTTTTTATTGTGGTTTTTATTTATTGATCTTTTAAAGCAGCAAACAAATATTGATAAATTGATAAATGTCACCCCCAAACTTTTCAACTGAGGTACTGGACTGTATAAAATCCATTTAGTTTCAGTGCTACTGGATGAGGTTCATTCCTCATTTGCGTGACCTATCGTGTTCCTCTTTGACTTTAGATGGTGTCCTGGACGTTGAATCATTTACTTTTAGTGAAAACATACACCCTATAGAGGGATGGATTGGCTCTAAGCCTAGTTTTTAGTTGTCATACATCAATCCCTCAAATCCCAATACTCATCCTTTAGTCCCATATGCCGAGGACACTTGGGGAAGAAATGTAAGAATGTGTGTCCAGCCATGGAATCTCACTGGCCACCACAGGTGCTGCTCCAGCATCCCAAGATGTGAGTGGCTCGTTTCAGTGTTGGAGGCTGGACCATCACACCAACACAAGACATGCTGTCCAGTGGAGCAAAGAGAAGACCCAATGAAAATAGCATTCATAGTTCCAGCCTGGGTTGGGTCTATGCGCCTCACCCTGGTCAACCTCAGTGGAACTCAGTCACATGACACTGATGGACAGAGGGGATAGTGTTCTTTAAACATAAGCCAAGAGAGGAAGGGTGTGTGTGTGTGTGTGTGTGTTGAGCAGTAATCCTTCAAGAGTAAAATCACTGTCCCATCTGGCCAATGTGTCATTGTCCGTGTGCAAGGGGAATCCTTTTTTTGGGAGTCTTACCCTTCATCACCCCATGGTGTCTTACATTCTACAACCTGAGAGACCAGAATTGATCTTTTATCTTTCAAGTAATGCACACCTTCTACCCCTTTCTTTAATTAACTCGGTCTTGTGGGTGTCCAATGTACAGGGTGTACTTACATGGATGTCTGATTTAGTAATATGCTTCTGTTTTAGGCATACTCAATTTGTGGCTTCAGGGAATGCAACCATTTCATGTCTGATGTGTGGGAGTATATGTTTCTGCATTATCATGCATGTTATGTGAAGAATAATATGACTATTACATAACCCCAGCATATGGCATGTAATCCAGCTTGCAGTACACAGCATCATAATGTACCCACTGTTTGTTTTTAGAAAGCTTGACCATGATGATGGTACATGCAAAAACTCATACTAAGTAATGTAAAAGCACTTGTGTTCCAAGGATTGTAATCTGCTCTTAATCCTGTAGTACGCAGGAAAGACTAAGCAAAGCCCCTCATAAGTTTCTTTTAAAATGTTTGAATAAACTAATAAATAATCAGTGAAGTGATTTAAGTAGTAAATATAGTTTTTACCTAAATTGGAAAATGTTTCAAGTATAGTATAGTTACTCATTAAGAAAAACTTAATTCTTCACAACTTTGAATTAAATTTAGTATACAGAAGTATGAAAATACAATGCAAGTAATGCTTAATTTAAAACACCAAGATTATTGATCAGAAATTAATCTTAAGGAATCCAATGATAGAATAAAATAAAATTTTAAACATCATTTTAAGGCACCATGAAAAAAACAAACAAAAAAAGGGACAAGAAATTTATCCGTAAATGTTCATAAAAGGCAATTCAATTATGGTGTTTTCAGAACAAATTATTATGGTATATTTTTAAAACCTAGTCAGTAATTTATTGATTATCTGGCCCATAATCAGTTAGATATTTGCGCCTTTTCTATTTCACTTTATTTCCTTTTCCTCCCCTTCCCCTCAACTACATTCTTTATTTTTTAATTCTAGAGCTTAAACAGTGATTAATTGATTAGACAGATGGTAATTTACTAATCTCCTACAATTTTTTAGAAAAAGTCACTAAATTTTCAAACAAAAATGCAAGACATTCTCTTTTTTTGGCTTCTCCAATGTAAGGATTTGGACTGTTGGCCAGACAAAACAAGCAAATGTAATATGTCAACTTTGGCTCTGGGAAGATACTACTGGCCCTTTTCACTTCTTTTACAAAAAGGATAGATCAGTTAATTTAGAATATTATCTTCAGATGGATCGATAATGCTATTTGCAGCTCTAGGTTCCTCCCCCACTTCACTCCTTTGCTCTCTGCCTTCACTCTCACTTTAATACAGTCCACCTCTACCTTCATTTACGTATGCTGGTAGTGGATGTTCAACCCACAAGGCTATATTTGTAGACCACGTATATACACACTGACAGATGGACAGTCTCGTCGGAATGTTTCGCTGTTGCTAGGAGACATCATGTCAGCTGTTAATACAAGCAGATTGATGATAAAAAGATAAACGGAGACGAAGTACCTTGACATCATTGTTGGACAACTGGCTGGTAAACAAGTTGTTTCTTTTTTTATTTTGTAGCAAATATTCTAAATATATATTGGTAAGCAGCTTTGGTGGCAAAAAGGAAAATATACTCAATAGGGTGATTTATGTCAGCAAAATCACGGTAATAAATAGAAAAGTCTTTTTCTGTATAACAAACAGTTCTTAAAGAAAGCAGCATTCTGTGTAACAGCTCCCATCCCCAACACTGAGTTGCAGATCTTCCGGTTCCCTTTTTAAAGTCTCATTAGCCAAAACCAACAGATGAATTCTCTTTCATACCCTCTGCCATCTCTCAACTAACCTTATTAGGAAAAGGTAATTTAAGCCCTTATACCCAGGGTCTCAATGTGTATTCATAATTCTACTTAATTTTGCTTGTTTCTGTTTCACTGTCACGCTGTGGAATTAATTGCCATTTATTTTGCACATTCATGCACAATTTGTAATTAAAATAATATATTTTGGAGAGATTGTTTTACATTATGTGGTGTATTTATTTATATTATAAAACTTATTGTCAGTTTTATACTTTATTTTTATGATTCTTGACATGCAGTACTTGCTTTATCTTTCTTATAATTTCCACCTACTGTGTTTTTTGTTATGCACCAAAATACCAAAGCAAATAAAGCTAATTCTGATTTGAGAACAAAGTAATTGTTTGATGGATAAATACTTGAGTGAAGTTCAGATTCTTGAAGAAATAATCATATACAGTAATAATGTTATATTTTATTTTTTGTGTCACTAGAATAGTAATGTGAGTGATATGTGGTGATGACTCTCCCTACAGCTTCCTCATGGTCCTGGTGTGCCTAATCTTCAGTGTCCTGTCCACTATAGAGCAATATGCAGACTTTGCCACCGGAACCCTCTTCTGGATGGTGAGTACTTTCATCGTGCTGATATACCAAACTTTCACAACTTCCATAGAAATCCATAAATAGGCTGAATTCAGAAGCATCTTCATAATTCTTTCACGTTGATTTTACATTTACAGGTGCATCTGTTATAATGGGCTACTCTTATTAGCCACAGGTGTACAGAAATAATGGTAACAGATGTATCAGTTACATGTCTTAAAGGCCCTGCACACCCACACAGTTGTTTTCACTTGTTTTAGCTTCTTAGATTTCTACTCAGGCTGAAGTTGGGCTGAGCTATGCTGAACTTCTAACTATGAATTAACTATGCGAGCTACCATGCAAGGCAGTTGCCTGACCTTGGGGAGGAACAAAACTAAATGAACCAATAAGAATGATAAAGCTGTAACCTCTACCACTTTAACAGGTGCAACAAAATCAATAGGAGGGTCAGTTTGTACATACCCACACAGTCCTAGGAGGTCTAATCAGGCAGACTAATATAAAACACCTGTGTGATTGGACCATGGGTTTGCCCCATACCACACGACAACTTTTGTAGTCAGGTCAGTATTCTACACTGCCAGCAGGTCAGACACACAACAGCAGACCATCAGGACCGCTCAAAACAGACCCACAGAATGTTAAACCAGAACCAGACACCATCATAAAATATAGTCTGCATTATCATATCTAATTCCTAATTCTTATCATTTCAAGTTTCAACTTTTTTTTACCAAATATCTCCTTTCCTCCTGCTCATGTTGAATGAGAATGAAATGTAATCTGTGTTCAATAAAACAGTTGTTATGCACTGTTGGGGAATTTTTGGTCAGTAATATTAAACAGAGTACTGTCTAGACCTGCTTTATATAAAAAGTGCAATGAGAAGCCTTTTGTTATGAATTTGCGCTATATACAGTGGGGAGACCAAGTATTTGATACACTGCTGATTTTGCAGGTTTTCCTACTTACAAAGCATGTAGAGGTCTGTCGCTGGGCAATACGGACTTTCAGCTCCCTCCCAAGATTTTCTATTGGGTTCAGGTCTGGAGACTGGCTAGGCCACTCCAGGACCTTGAGATGCTTCTGCGGAGCCACTCCTTAGTTGCCCTGGCTGTGTGTTTCGGGTCGTTGTCATGCTGGAAGACCCAGCCACGACCCATCTTCAATGATCTTACTGAGGGAAGGAGGTTGTTGGCCAAGATCTCGCAATACATGGCCCCATCCATCATCCCCTCAATACGGTGCAGTCGTCCTGACCCTTTGCAGAAAAGCATCCTCCTGATTCACGGTAGAGATGGTGTTCTAGGGGTTGTACTCATCCTCCTTCTTCCTCCGAACACAGCGAGTGGAGTTTAGACCATAAAGCTCTATTTTTGTCTCATCAGACCACATGACCGTCTCCCATTCCTCCTCTGGATCATCCAGATGGTCACTGGCAAACTTCAGAAGGGCCTGGAAATGCGCTGGCTTGAGCAGGGGGACCTTGTATGCAAAATCAGCAGTGTATCAAATACTTGTTCTCCCCACTGTAGATAAACTGAATACATTTGAAATAACAAATCTGGATTTTAACATTTACCTAGCCAGGTAAAACTCCTGAATTCCACTGTGAAAACAAATACTGTGCTTCTAGACCCCCCCAATCCCCCCCCATAATTCAAGCCATGTGTATCGGTTGATGATGTACATCACTACTACAGAGCACAACAATAAGGATAAACTGATTGCCCGGGGCAAGTAAACACATTGTTTTAGTGTAATTTATTATAATGCCGCAACTTATCCCCTGTTCTCAGTGTAGAAGCACACACACACACACAAACACACATGGAGTGAAGTCAGCGGACAACAGGTCAGAAACACCACAGTGGAGATTACTTGATGACAACTATGAAATGCATAGTAAAAAATGCACGAGTAAAAAGAAGGTACTTTATCAATACACCTGTTCAACAGGCCTAAATGCAGAAAGTGATATTTTTTATCTGCTGTGTCTAAATCTCTCACCTTCTAGGTTTTACAGTTTTTTTCGATTGCTTACCTGCTTTGGTCAAAACTGAAGTCACATTATCAAAACTCTTCACAGAAGTGAGTGTATGTGGACCCAACTGTGGATAATTTTTCATTGCTTTCACGAAAAATGCATTCAATGACCACTTTCTCCAAAATCCATGTCCAAAACTGTTGAAAACAAATTCAAAACAGAATGATTGCAAATGTCTTGCATTTTTGCAGTAATCAGACTGAAATATATAGAATAGCAGAACGTAATATGAACATTTTATGTTTACGTCTATGTAGTGTTTTCCAGCGAAGGTTGAGATCAAGGGCAACTGGACTTGGTTGAAGAAAAACTAGAAGACGTTTCGTCCCTCATCCAAGAGACTTATTCAGTTCTGACTGACTGCCCTCAACACCTGAAGGGGGCACTTACAGTCTGTGAATACCCTAAATGGACCTTTGTGAAAACAGCCACAAAATCCAGGAAGAACACCAACACTACAGGGGAAGAGGGTCAAACGCAACAATATTGTGATTACATGTGTCTAGAGGATCAGAGAAACACAGGAGGATTTTCAACAAACACAACATCCCTGTGTTTTTTAAACCCAAGAACACGCTAAGACAGATACTGGTACACCCCAAAGACCGCACAGCCAAACACAAGAATAGCAATCTAGTGTATGCGATCCAATGCAGTGAGGAATGCACAAACCTGTACATTGGGGAAACTAAACAACCACTACACAAACACATGGCTCAACACAGAAGGGCTAACTCCTCAGGTCAAGCCTCAGCAGTTTACTTACATCTGAAGGATAAAGGACACTCTGAGGATCACCAGGTGCATATTTTAGACAGAGAATATGGATGCTTTGAAAGAGGTGTAATGGAAGCCATTTACACCCGGGTTGAGAAGCCGTTGCTGAACAGAGGAGAGGGTCTATGCCACCACTTGCAGTGCTGTCCTTTATTCACTTCCCAGGAAACTGAACAAGCATTTCCTCTTGGCCTCAAGTGAAGATGCCAACGATGGTCTTTCAGATTTTGACGAACATGATGATGACTGTCGTTACCACAGCCAGGTGCACTAATGAACAAGCGGTATCTACGATTCTAGCTAACGATCCCACAGAGGTTAAATAGCTGAGTTTCCCTACCAGTCAGTCAGAACTGAAGAAGTCTCTTGGATGAGGGACAAAACGTCTTCTAGTTTTTCTTCAACTAAGTCCAGTTGACCTTGACCTCAACCTTCGCTGGATAACTATGACCTGGATGACTGAGAACCTTCACAGACTGTGTAGTGTTTTGAATGTAGTTTTACTGTAAAACTGCAAGCTGAGTGTAAAGCAGAAAAATGTGCTTGTATTTAGCAGAATTGGTTCAAATGGTTGGTGCACCAATTACAGGTTTTGGTCAGAGTGTCTCAGGTATCAGTTTTACTGTATAAACAACTGAGAAAAACTGGATTGCAGAACTGAAATTTCAGGAACTTTTTTTTCACGATTACTGAATGCAGTGATATAGAACAAAAGGATATTGAAGTAAATTTCGGCATTTCTGATTCATTCTTGTTACATATACTATAGTACAGTCAATAAGTGAAAATATGTTATTCTTATAGTTTATCTCAGTCGCTTTGGTACATTTCTAGAATCATCCTTAACATTTGCAAAACTATTTATATTTGTAAACAATGGAAAGGTTTGGATGACAATGATTGAAAATGCACAAAGCTGCACTTTTTCTATATGGCATCAATTTCAACAGTACAGAGTTATACATTGCAAGGGTTTGGACAGGATTTACAGTTATGCTTTTACTGTATGCACTGTAATTTGTTGACAGAGCATGTCATTGTGATGCAGAAACCCCCCCCCCCCGAGTCTATTTTATATACCAGTATAATACACTGTGATCAACATGACCTAAGCAATTGATAATGTAGGAAACAGCAGACAATTGTACATAATAATTTGCATAAACGTGTCAGAGCATTTGGACAACTGTATTCTATATGAAATACTGATTTACATGAAAAAATCAGTCACATTTCGAGGATAAAAGTTCATTATATTTATGTAATGCTTCCTTTTATTATTGTTTTGTAGGTCAGTGTGTTATGAGTGAGATCGTATGCTTTCTGAGTGAGAATTTTTGCCAGTGTTTTGGTTGAATGAGTTGATTTTGAGACTTGTATGAAGTGTTTTGGGGGGTTTGAGTGACTTTTGGAGGTGAGATTAACTGTTTGGCCAAGATGCATGTTGGTAATGCAGACTGTGTGAAGAGTTTTGAAAAAGTGGCTTCAGTTTTGACCATTGCATCTTAGCAATTGAAAAAAACTTTAAGCAAGCGTGGCTTGCTAGCTCAGCTAATAACGAATTGTTACAAACAAGCTGAAATGAAAGCTGTCTGTATGTAACTGTTTAGCTCAGTTTGCCACCTACCTTAAAAGTTGGCAAATTCTTGTAAACTTACCAGTACCTGGATGCTGCAGATGGAGGAGGACAAAGGACATGATTCTTTTTAAACTTCTCTCAGTATTTTGATGTCAGCTATATGATTTATTTTACTGACATTTGACATTTGTTTCAGGTGAGATATTACTAGAGTATTAGAGTGTATATAGTGGCTGTGTTGTTGTAAACTTTACTGTTGCTGCTCTAGAAACAACATTTAGTTATATTTAAAGTACTCATTTCTAATCCTGTTCTGAATGTATTCTTTTTTTAAATAATATATATTTTAAAAGCAATTATTTAGTAATGAAAAAGAACCAATGAGAGAATGGAGAAAGAACTGAGCCAATAAGGAGAATTGATAAGAGTAGTAGAATTGATCAAATCAATCATCATAAAATCAGTGATACCCATCTCTACTACAGAGAAAATGGAAGCAGGTAAAGACAGTGTTTAGAATAATAATATCACTCACAGTCCATCTCTGGGGAGAAAGAGCAAACATTTTGTTTGGGGCAAGTAAAAATTTACTTAGGGGAAGTAGATTCTGACCCC